CCGGAGGCGGCGCCGCTGCTGCTGCTGCTGCTGCTGCTGCTGCGCAGCGGCTGCACTAGCGAGAGCCCGAGTTGGCGTTCGTTTCGAATTCAAGAAATATAAACTGCACAAATGAGTCTGTTAACACACCTGCGAAAAGGTCTTCGTCTGTCCTTCCTAGCTGTACGTACACCGCAGGGGCCCTGCTGCTGACCCTGCTGCTCCTGCTGCTGCATGCTGCAGCAGCGCGTCGGCGCGAGCTGCGCCGCTGCGGCGCCTCTTCTTTCTTAGATTTTTAATTATTTTCTCTAATTAAATGCAAAAATAAACGTATTTACCTTTTAAAGAGGAAAAGTTGAACAGATCGGCAGCCAACAGAGCCCTCGTTCAACTTTCGGCAGAGTCGCTGCTGCCTTCCGCCGCCAGCCCGCAGTGTTGGCAGCCAACAGCTGCATGCCTTCACTTTAATTTCAATAAATTCGAATTTAATTTCGAATTTAAAAGTCAAATGCAACAAAAATCGGGTCGGAAACCCGCAGAGGCGCCGCAGCTGGCGGCTGCCCTGCTGCGCGTCTTGCTGCAGCAGCAGCAAGCCGCACCGAGCAGCTGCAGCAGCAGCTTCTTGTTCGCCGTTTGAAATGAACTTTCTAGAAGCTCGAAAAGAAGCAAACAAACTCACTGCTGGCCACTGACACCCAACAACAGCCCTCGCTCGCGCTGTTTCAACTTGCACAGAGTAGAAGGCAGCACATCTTGTCTTGATTTGCCACACCTTACTTTCTCGATTTTCCGCTTTTAAACAAAAGCCATGCAATTTGGGATTAAGATTCCAGACTTCCTCCTGCAGCGGCGGCGGGGGGAGCCTCTCAAAACCCACAAAACCGAAACACTGAAAAACGGAAAAGTGCAAATTTAGTGATGGAGAGCCGCGAGAATTTGAGCGTGAAAGGGCATTTCAGTTGCCTGAGGAACCAATCCATGCAGAACTTTATTTTATTTTATTTATTCGTTTGAGTTTCCTCATCAATCGGGACCGTTCATGTTTCTTGACTTGGGGTGTATGCGCAGCTCTGGAAAGCTGAAAGGCGCGGTGGATGTTCACATTTTTCGTTTTGGCCTCCCACTGGCGATTTGAGAGCTCTTTTAAAAGATCATGAGCCCCTCTTTTTGAAATATGCGGCCCTTTTTTCCCGCAAATGCTTTTTTGTTGCCGCTTTCCCTCTTTTTCCTCTCGAACTTTAATTCCTGCGCGGCCTGGCGGCACCCGGCGGGCGCCGGCGCCGCGGCTCCCTTGGTCGTGGAGGAGGAAGAGCCATACAGGTCTGCGTCTTTTTGAATTAATTTTTCAATTTAATTGAATTTTGAATTTATTATTTAAATGGATTGTCCCGCCCGCGGCAGCGAAGCTGTGCGGGTCCTGGCCGACGCGATCAAGCGACAAACTGCGCGAAATGCCCGAGTCGGGGGGGCCCTCGTGGCTTCTAAGGCGAGGGCCTACGAAGCCAGCGAGCTGCTGCATGCAGAGCATCTTTCGCAGCTGCTGCAGGGCCTTGCTGCGGACTTGCAGGCAGCAGAAGCAGCAGCAGAGGAAGCGCAGCAGCAAATTGACGGGGAGCGGCTGCGGCACGCGGAGGCGAAGGCGCAGATCGCAGCAGACGCGCAGCAGCAGCTGCAGCGGCTGCAGCAGGAAGAAGCTGCTGCGCTGAAGCAGCAGCACCAGGCAGAGGACAAGCTGCTGCAGACAGAAGCTGCTTTGAAGGCTGGGGAAGAACAGCTGGAAGCAGCAAGAGAACACCACAAAGAGCTGCAGCGGCAAGCAGCAAAAGACGAAAACAAAGTCCTGCAGCTGATTGAAAAGGACCGAGAAGCAGCAGAAGAGGAAGAGGAGGCTCAAGCAGCACAAGAAGAAAGTGAAGAAGGTGAGAAAACAGCAGCAGCAAAAAAAAGAAAAACAAAAACTGCCTTCTGCAGCAAACGCCTGAGCCCGCCTGCTGTCTGTACACCTCAAGGAGTCCGCTGCTGCACCCAGGAGCTGCCCCTACTGTTCAAAACCCTAAACCCTAAACCCTAAACTCTTTGGCCAGTCTTTGCCGCCCGAAGCGCCCAGCTTCGCCCCCAGAGACAAACGAAAAATAAAGCCAAAAGGGTTTAGGGTTTAGGGTTTAGCGTTTGCGTTTCGCGCGCCGTCTCTGTCTGGCTCTGTGCGCGTTTTTCAACTTTTTGAACTGCTGGAGATCGGGCGATCCGGGCCTTGAATTGATGGATTTTTTGAATTAATTGAATCAATTAAATAAATAATTAAATTAAGTTAAATAATTAATCAATTAAATCGAAAAAACCAATCAATTGATGCAACTCTTGCTCCTCAGAACCCCTCCGTCGCCCACCCCCACTGCTGCTCCAGCAGCTTGTGCTTCAGGGTGTACATACACCCCACCACGCACCCATACACCAGCCACAGCAGCAGCAGGAACTTGAAGACATAGCTGCTGAGGAGGGATCTGAGAAACCCAGGTCTGCTGCTGCTGCGCTTGCTGCTGCTGCTGCTGCTGCTGAGGCGCTGCTGCCGCTCCCAGTACTCGTACTGCTGCTGCTGCTGCTGCTGCTGCTGCTCCGCCTCTATTACGAACGCCAGCTCCCGCTGTATGGCGTCTTGCCGGCCCAGCGTCTGCAGCAGCAGCTGCGGACTTGCACCTCTGAGGACTTGCTGCCGCAGCACGAGTCTCTCGTGTTCCAGCTGCTGCAGCAGCAGCTGCTGCTGCTTGGGCTGCAGCAGCAGCTCGCAGGGCCCCTGCGGCGCCTGCTGCTGCAGAGTCAGGCTCTGGACGGGGTACGCGGCACACAGCTGCTGCTGCTGCAGCAGCAGCTGCTGCTGCTG